CCACCGCGGCCACCACGACCGCCACGGCCACCGCGACCACCGCGGCCACGGCCGAAGCCGCGCTGTTCACCAGCAGGAGCTTGTGGGGCGTCAGCCATTTCTACCTGGTTTCTCCTCGACAAATGGCTAATTCATAAATGGAAAGAAGAAGTGAAACAGGAAGAACGAAAAAACAAACTAAAATAAAGGCGCATCACGTTCCCTATACAATATAATGGTTTGCTTTTTTTAAAACTTTCTCCAGGCAAACAAGCAAGCTGAGAAGAGGAAAAAAAAAAAACGTAACTAAAAAACACTACCTTTGGCGCTCGAGAGCCACATAATGGTAAGAACGCTGAGTATTGCATTTTCGTTTACACGCGTATGTGCACGAAGTTGTAATAAAACGCTGAAATAACGTTGAAGCCTGGCCATTTATAGTTTGGTTTCCCCTTCCAAAAGTCGAAGAAAGTTTCCGGGAACGAATCCTCTCCGCGAAAGCCGATCGGGGCCATCGACAGGGATCGCCTCACACCAACCGTTCTCTGTGTACTCCTCAATGACAAAGCGGTCCCCAACTTTGAAGCCGAAGAAGCCCTCCTTCTCTGGAGATTCATAGTCGAACATGGCAACAAAGATTCGCTTGGTTTGGTTATTCTTTCCGTGCGCCCCAAACTCCAGCAGTGCCGCGGACTCTGTAGAATAAGCCGAAGACGCATCATCGTCGCTGTTCTCCTCGCTCAGCAGCAGGCTACCTTCCAAATCCTCCTCATCATCGGTGGTAAGGACGTCACGCACTTTGTTAGCGATTGAACGCGGTGCGCGCATTTCATGGGAACGCTGCCGCATGCGGTAGAGTGTTTCCATTAGTAGGAAGAGGGCAGAAATTAGAACATATGACTTCCATTTTGAAGTCCAGGATGATGGCGCGCCACTCCCACACACCGCTTTTTCTGCAGCCTTGGCAGGGGCTTCCCGTGCGACTGCGCGTGGCATGGCATTCTCCTGGCTCTTGATGAGAGCCTTCAGGGCCTTGATGCTGTAAAATGTTCCAAATGCAACACCAAAAAGCTCAAGCCCCGAACGCATTATTTGAATTAATATTTGAAGTACGTGGCCGACGACCTCGACTGTCGAATGGATAGCAAACTGTTTTTTTTGTTGTCGGTGTTTTTCAAGTGCTTCTTTTTCCTGTCGGCGCTCCTGACGGCGACGTGCACGGCGCTCTCTCGGTGATTCTTCAACGGCAGGTTTTCCGGGGATTGTGAGCTGCGGTTGATCAGACTGAGGTGGAAGGAGACTATTGGTGCCTTGGCCATTGTTTCCCATCATACCGTTTCCCATGCCCCCCGACGCTCCAGCACCAAGCATACCCCCCGGCGCTCCAGCACCAAGCATACCCCCCGACGCTCCAGCACCAAGCACGCCACCAGACATTCCACCCATCATCCCGCCGCCAAGCATGCCGCCCGTCATACCTCCCATAGTACCTAATCCACCGCCATACATGGAAGACATTCCACCACCGTATCCGCCATACATGGAAGACATTCCGCCACCGTATCCTCCGTACATGGAAGACATTCCACTACCATATCCGCCATACATGGAAGGCATTCCACCACCGTACCCGCCATACATGGAAGACATTCCACCACCGTATCCACCGTACATACCTTTTGGTAAATTTTGTTAGAGGGCTACAAAAAAACACTGAAGACCAAACTCCACTACAGGAAAGAAGAAGAAAAAAAAAAAAGAAACAAAGAAAAAATTCAGCATTGCAGAGCCCTTGAGCACCCCTACTCGGAGAGCCAGCATGATCATGTGAACAGAGCATAGCATTCTTGTCACCGTTGCACCCCCCGCAAAAAGCATGCGTGCGATCACCGGATAGCGGGATTGAAATATAATGCGAAGAAAAGAATTGACTTTGTTACATAATGAGCGAGCACAGGCACACGTCTTCCCCTCACACGGCCAAGTAATCGCATAAGCGACGGTGCCATGCAAGGTGTCAGCCACCTCTACAATTTCCAATCGTCAAGGTTGATCGGCTGTCCAGACCGCTTTGCCTCCCTCAACGCATCAAGCTTCGCTTGCATCTCAGCCTCAATGCGATCCGTCTCGCGCCGCATAGCTTCAACTTCATCAAGATGCTGTTGGCGCTCGATCAAAATCTGTTCCAGAACAGCTCTCCGTTTCCCATCAAGTTCCTCCGATGCTTTGCGTCGTGCCTCCTCTTGTTCCGCGGTGGCCTGACGACGTGTTTCTTCCTCGTACAGGTTTGTCTGTCGTCGGGCTTCTTCCTCACGTGCACGGGCCTGTTCCTCACGTTTACGCTGTTCCTCCCGGTCCTTTTCGTACGCGGCGTAGTCCGCCTGATGAGCGAGAGCCTCTTCCACCTTCGCTTCCGCCCTTTGGACCTCTAAAGCAATCTCTTTCTCCCGCTGTCGTTGACGTTCGCGCCGTGAGCACTGCTGCTCTGTAGATTCTTGTTGAGCCAACTCTCGTTCTGTTGCCAAACGGCGCCGTTCCTCATCTAGCTCTTTCTTCTTCTGGGCGAGCTCTCGGAGGTGTGTATCGAGATCTTCCTGTTGTTTTCTCTGTACCTCTGAGTATGCAGCCATCTTCTGCCGTTCTTCCTCAGCTTTTCGCATTTTCATGGCATTTTCCTTCTCTCGGCGAAGCAACTCTCCTTCCCACTCTCGCTGAGCGCGTGCACGTTCGAGCTCCTCTTCCCGTTCTCGTTCACGTCGCTGCTGTAATATGCGCCATTCTTCAGCCCGTTGTTTTTCTTCAACCTCTAGTTTTCTCGCATAGCTCAACTTTGCCTTAAAAACTTCTTCTGCTTGTCTAAGCTCTTCTTGCTTCCTCTTAAACCACTCTGCAAAACTCACTTGATTTCCACCTCCTCCACGGAAGCCATCTTTGGCATCCTTGCCCGCGGGCACAGAGCCGCCGTATGTTCCCTTCTGATACTGCTTATAGACGTCCTCGAACAGCTTGTCATCGGTAGGCCTTCTAGAGCCTCCATCGCCGAACGATGGTGTAGGCGCAGGGTTCGGACTCATTGGGCTCGCATTGTTGCGGGGAGCAGGCCTCGGGACATTACGCCTTGTTGGAGGAGATGCCTGTTTCCGACGGTCGTGTATGGCCATTTCTTGATCGTACTTCCTCCGCTTCGTCGGCGATCGCAATATATGATATGCGTTTACCACAAGTTTAAACACCGCCTCCCCATCTGGGTTCTTGTCAGGGTGCAACTCTAGTGCTTTCACCTTGTATGCTTCGCGAATACCATCCTTGGACACTGTTCTTGGAACACCAAGAAGCGCATAGTAGTCTTGTTGCTTCTGCATGAGATATTGTGGCCTGCACAAACCGACTCCTAGTTGTGATTTTTCGTTTTATTTTGGAAGGTACAGGTATTATTTTGGGTGTTTGAGTTGCGATCGTGTGTAGAGGGGGAAAAAAAGGACTAGCCACTACACGAGAAGCATCAAGACAAAAATCATTCCTATCTAGTTTCCCTCCACCATAGGAACACGCATATCCACAAACAAACAAACAAACAAGATCACCGCTCTCAAAAGAGACACATAAACACACAGCCCTCCTCCCCCTTCGGACCACTGTTGGTGGAGCGCACAGAAATACCCTTTAACTCCAGTCCAACCGCACAACATAAAGCAGTTACTGTACGACCTCACTCTCGCCGTTGTCCGGCTGCTTCCTTCGCTCTCTGTTCATTGCGCTCCTGTTCCTCCACCTCATTCTCCCAGTCCAAATCATCCAACAGTTTTTGCGACTGTTTCAAGGCAATCGGAATTCGTGAGAGGACAAAAAGCAATACAGCAAGAAGGACGATTGTTTCACCCCATAGGCCAATGTACCCATGCAAAAAGTCAAGCCACGCCAATATGATACGGTACTTGTATGTACCCAATGTAACTTCCTGTCCCCAACCGCCACTTTTAGCGCTGATGTGACGCATATGCTCTGGAGGCTTCATACCGTAAAGAAGATAATAATTTCTTGCCTCTGGATTCACAAGAATGTCATACGCGTCCTTTAATTCCTCTAGGGCCATTGCACGATCTTCCTCGTCCTTCTCATTTTTCTCCACCTCTTCCTTCTTCGCCTCATAAGCTTTCTTAAGTTCTGCAGCATCTGAGGATCGCTTAGACTTTGTATCTTTTACGTCCAACAAGACTCCATAGAGCTCGCGGTCAACTTGGGAAGCGAGACGATTATACGCCAGCTCTACTTGCTGGTTTTTGGCCTCACACGCCCGCCCACAGTGCACAAGTTGTCCACGCTGCTCCTGGTGTGTCTCATACGCCTTGCGTATTTCCTTGCGAAGACGGTAGTTCTCTCGTCGGCGTTCCTTGTCGGGATCGTGTCCGTCGACATCACTAGTGGTTCCTCCGTGTGCCTCTTCCCGCCTAAGCCGGCCCTCCACACCGAGCGTTTTGTAATACTTCTCCAACTCCTCGGTACTGGCCCCAACAGAGGGGTCGGCAGCGTCCCCGCCAAAGCCCTTTCCACTTTCAATTTGGGGTGGCTCCAGATTGAACTCTACGTCGTACTTCGCCAATGAAAGCATAGCAATTGCAAGCACCACAAACCCAAAAAATAAAAAACGAAACTTGGAGCCAGAATCTTCGTGTTCCTCCACAATTGCGTTCCACTCAGCCTGTGTGATTAGGCCTCTATTCGGATCACGATGCGAGCGCCGATTCGTGTTAGCAAAGCGGGAGTTCGGCCCTTGAAGTCCCCGCATGGTGTTATGCCGGGCAAACATATCCTCCCTAACAGCGCGCGCTGCGCTTTCCTCCAACTTGGCGCGCCTCTCATTGGCCTGCTGTTGACGTATCTGTGCCGCCCTTGGTATCATGGCTACAATTGTATTCACACTGAAATGTGGCAGAGGTGAAAATCACGCACAAAGAAAAGAGAAAACAGCAAGCAAAGTAAAACATGCCAATTTGTGTTTACCCAACGAAGATACACGTAAACGGCAGTAAGGTTATCATTCCTTTCTTTTTCTGTTGTTGTTTACTTCATGTAGCGTACCTCCTCTTCCGTCCGCTTACTGTGTTACCTCATTAGCGTTATCGACGACACCCTCAAACATGTATATTTTTTTTTTCGCTTCTTCTTTTTTTCTTAAAACGTATCCTAACGGCGTTTCGCCCCCAAAAAACGAAGGCACGCAACAAACACCTTTACGGCGTCATTGCATCCTACTTCGGTGGAGACTTGTAGTACCCCGTGACGACCGCATGGTCACGTTCAAAGGGCTCTAGCGAAGCCTGCTCCTTGGGCCTCAGGCCAGAATCCTTGAGCTTTTGAACCTCTGAGGCGAACACTGTTGCGGGATCCGCGGTAGAGTCGATGCAGTTGGCCTTGATCGATATGACAAAGCCACCATTATCTTTGAGAAAATGCTGCGCGTTCAGCGCTAGGATACGTGCCTGATCAGGCTGAGCAACGTCCATGAAGATGCAATCCACCAGACGTGGGATAAGCATCCGGTACTTTTGCGGGTATCGCGCATCCTCCAAAATCGGCACAATATTGCTGCGGCGCTTCGTCATCTCCTCAAGGTCACGACCACTGCGGTGTGAAAACTCCACCGCATAGACAATACCCTCTGGCCCCACCAAGTCCGAGACATGACTAACAGTAGTTCCGCTAGCAGCCCCAAGATAGAGGACAGTAGACCCTGGTTCCATGTAGATCTGGGCGACGCCGGAATAGATCGCCGCCGCCAGCTTTGACCGGTACGGGTTCCACACACGGAACTCGCAGGACTCCGTTTCACCGGCAATCGCTCCACTCATACGCTTCTCGCCGTAGATGGAAACACCTGGCACCAAGGACTTCGTTGCGAGCGTGTCTTTACCGGAGAGCAGGTAGCACCCACGCATGCGGGCATGCGGCTGGAAGACATTGCCCCGGACAGC